ATGGTGAACAAACAAGCTTCTTTATTGATCTCTTCTTACAACCAGCAGCAGCAAAATGGCACGCAGGCCATTTGTAGAGTCCTGAACCCAGACAGTGTCAGCCAATAGGAAGCTGGCTGTTTTCGCGCCTTGCGCATGCGTGCAAGGCTGGTGACAGCCAGTCTAGTCCCAGGCAGCTTTTGGTCTTCCCGGGACCGTTTGCAACATTGCTGAGCCTGCTGAATGCTTCAGCAGGCTCAGGACACAACAGGTAGAATCTCTGTAATTAAGATGAAAGTGTAAGAACGTCCTGGTAGTGCTTCACAAAAGCCAAGAAACAGGAACGTTGAACAATCAACAAGTTTAATGCACTGTGTTGACATAAAGTTAGCACTGGAAGTAACCTCCTTCCAGTGCCTTAAATACAGCCACCTACCACGCCCAGAGCACACACCCCAATTACCACCCACGACCATACTCCACCCTCGCCTCGCTCAACCCCAGTTGATAACCCACACCCCACCAATAACCTAATTAACAATGCTGCGCTCTCCTGCCCCAGTCCACGCCCCACACATAGAAGTGAAATGAACAAAGCCGGCAACACTCTGCTCTACCGTCCAGTCCTCTGCTCCAACGTCCACTAATGACAGACCCAGCGACACTTGGAAGTCCAATAAACATAAGTACGAAGCAGCCTCCCTTCCGTTCACCACGTTTCGTCCGTGCTGTTGTTACTAGTCATCTAAGTATATCAATTACTAGCCATCCTAGCTGGTCACATGGGCTCATCAGCTGCCGCTCTAGGAATCCCGGTTTCCCATCTCGGTTTTTGCAATAGCAGTGCGAAACACAGAGCTGCCGCTCTAGGAATCCCGGTTGCCCATTACCAATGCCTTGGTAAGACCACACTTGGAATACTGCATCCAGTTTTGGTTGCCATGGTACAAAAAAGATTTTGAGATTCTAGAAAGAGTGCAGAGAAGAGCAACAAAGATGATTAGGGGACTGGAGGTTAAAACATATGAAGAACAGTTGCAGGAATTAGGTATGTCTAGTTTAATGAAAATAAGGACTAGGGGTGACATGATAGCAGTGTGTCAATATTCAGCTCGAGAATCCAAATAAAACTCCAGCTTCATTCTGTTTCCAAAAATCTTACTGTTTATTAAGTTGATTGATTTTGCTGAAACAAAACTAACTCTGAGGTTCTAACACCAATTCATAGCCTTAAGCAATAGTTTTCCCAGCCAAACCCCCAATGTCTTACGTAGTCCATATAAACAGCCTCTTTCTTGACTAAGAGAGGAATAGACTGGTTTTGCTGGTAAGAAGGTAAATTTAAATCCAGGCCTTGTAGGAAAGGATAGATTAGTATGTGGGTCCGGGGCTGTGGCAGGTCCTTTGTCATCAGAAGTTGCTGAGCAGTGCTGGCAACAAGTGTGCCTCCGCTGCTGTCGCCAGCCAGCACGATCCGTTTCGGGTCCACCCCGTAGTCCTGCGCATTCTTCAGAAAATGTGATACGGCAGTGTAGCAGCTGAGTTGTTGAGCTGGATAGGGGTGCTCTGGCGCCAAGGGGTATCTGAAGCAACAGTCAGTCAAAATACAATCTTTCAAATGCACTGGCATTCCTATTATGAAGATGAATATATTATAGCTGCCCCACCCCAAAAAGACTGGGCAGCATGCAACAACCAATAGAAGCAGTCCTCGACTTACAAAAGTTCATTTAATAACTGTTGAAAATTACAACATCACTGAAAAAAGTGACTTAGGACCGTTTTTCACATGACCGTTGCAGCATCCCTGTGGTCACATGATCAAAATTAGGGCACCTGGGAACTGATATTTATGACAGCTGCAGTGTCTCAGGCTCATGTGATCCCTTTTTGTGACCTTCTGACAAGCAAAGTCAGTGGGATTCAGTTAACAACTGCATTACTAACATAACAATTGCAGTATTTCACTTAACATGGGGCACTTAACTGTCTCACAAAACAACAGAAATTTTGAGATGACAACAGCCTCAACAAGGTTTCATGCCGAGTGGATTTTGCCATTTCAGTTGTAATTTGGTATTTTTGCTTCTGATGGTCAGAGGCAGATCAGTTCAACTAAAATTGTCTAAAATCGCCGTCATAGCAGTGTTCCAATATCTCAGGGGCTGCCACAAATAAGAGGGAGCCAAACTATTCTCCAAAGTGCCTGAGGGCAGGACAAGAAGCAACGGATGGAAACTAACCAAGGAGAGAAGCAACCTACAGCTAAGGAGAAAGTTCTTGACAATTAGAACAATTAACCAGTGGAACAATCTGCCTCCCGATTGGACAATTATTTGTCTGAAATGGTATAGGGCAACTTGGGGGGAGGGGAAAACAGGGCTACATGCATGCAGCTTGACTTGTACAAGTAGCGAGCTGGCACACACAGCTTGATTGTAAGTTGACCTGTATATGCCCATGCATGCAAGCCCACTTGTGCAAGTTGCACACACACAATGGCTGGCCGCTCACGTAGCTCGGTTGCGAATAGGCCACAGCCCAATAGTAGGCCACAATCCAGGGACTGGGGACCCCAATATAGGGTTTCCTGCCTGAGCAGGAGGTTGGACTAGAAGATCTCCAAGGTCCCTTCCAATCCAGAGCCCTGAAATGCAGTTCTTTGCCCTTCCTTAATAATGGGACATTTGTAGATGGGGAAATTGCAACAATCAGTATCGGGTAGTTTTATGTTTGCAAGGTTGAGGTATTAAGCAAAGACACATGGTGAACAAACAAGCTTCTTTATTGATCTCTTCTTACAACCAGCAACAGCAAAATGGCACGCAGGCCATTTATAGAGTCCTGAACCCAGACAGTGTCAGCCAATAGGAAGCTGGCTGTTTTCGCGCCTTGCGCATGCGTGCAAGGCTGGCGACAGCCAGTCTGGTCCCAGGCAGCTTTTGGTCTGCCCGGGACCATTTGCAACATTGCTGAGCCTGCTGAATGCTTCAGCAGGCTCAGGACACAACAGGTAGAATCTCTGTAATTAAGATGAAAGTGTAAGAACATCCTGGTAGTGCTTCACAAAAGCCAAGAAACAGGAATGTTGAACAGTCAACAAGTTTAATGCACTGTGTTGACATAAAGTTAGCACTGGAAGCTAACTTCCAGTGAACCTGCTTCCAGTGCCTTAAATACAGCCACCTACCACGCCCAGAGCGCACCCCCCAATTACCACCCGTGACCATACTCCACCCTCGCCTAGCCCAACCCCAGTTGATAACCCACACCCCACCAATAACCTAATTAACAATGCTGCGCTCTCCTGCCCCAGTCCACGCCCCACACATAGAAGTGAAATGAACAAAGCCGGAAACACTCTGCTTTACCGTCCAGTCCTCTGCTCCAACGTCCACTAATGACAGACCCAGCGACACTTGGAAGTCCAATAAACATAAGTACGATGCAGCCTCCCCTCCGTTCGCCACGTTTCGTCCGTGCTGTTGTTACTAGCCATCTAAGTATATCAATTACTAGCCATCCTAGCTGGTCACATGGGCTCATCAGCTGCCGCTCTAGGAATCCCGGTTTCCCATCTCGGTGGTTGCAATAGCAGTGCGAAACACGGAGCTGCTGCTCTAGGAATCCCGGTTGCCCATCTCGGTGGTTGCAATGGCGGCGCGAAACGCGGACCCGCCGGATCAGCTGTTGGGGCCTCTCCAATGTTGCCATTGTGTGAGCCGGTAACGGGGCCACTGGAGGGTGGGTGGTGCGCTGGGTCTGATATTCGGCCCCCCTCACCACATGTCCCCCTGGAAGAAAGCATACTAAGATGAGTAAGGCCTTTTGTCATGCACATGAAGAGTTATTCGGCCCCTCCCCAGGTTTGCGTGGAAATTTCCTATGGTATCTACGAATCAGGTCGGGAGCAAAGACATCCCCCTTCCACACCCAGGAGGCATCGGACAGGGGATATCCCTTCCATAAGATTAGATAATAAAGTTTACCCCCCTTCACCTGCGAATCCAGGATATCTTGTACTTCATACCGACCTCGGGTGATGGGCCCTGGGGTTTGTTCTTGGGGTTTCTCCCTTACAGGTTTCAACAAGCTTACGTGAAAGACTGGATGCACCTTATCATGCAAACTCGGTAAATGAAGCTTCACCGTCACCGGATTAATAATCTGGACTATGCGGAAGGATCCGATGTACTTTGGTGCTAGTTTTTTGCACGGCACCTGCAACTTTATATATTTAGTCGATAAATACACTAGATCCCCCACCCAAAACTGAACCTGTAAGCTACGAGTTTTATCCGCCTGGTGTTTAGTTGCTTGTTCTGCTTTTATCAGGGCCTTTTTCACTGTACCCCATACCTCACCTACGTGGTTAAACCATTCATTGGGGTGACGAGGCTGGGATTCCTGGGACCCACACTCTGGCATCGGGACAAAGTCGCGTCCATACACCACCTGAAATGGTGTGAGGCCGGTGCTCTTATGTACTGCGTTATTATATGCGACGTCCGCTAATGGCACCAATTCCACCCAATTCGACTGTTGATAGGATACGTAGCTCCTCAGATATCGCTCGACAGCAGCATTGGCCCACTCCACTGCCCCGTTGGTACTGGGATGATACGCAGAGCTGAGACCTTGAGCAGTACCAATGAATCGAAGGAACTGACGCCAGAATTGAGCCGTAAATTGTACGCCACGGTCCGAAATAATTTGACGAGGTGCCCCATGCAAACGATAAGTATGTGTTCAAAACATTCTGGCCAGTCCTCTTGCCAACGGCAATCCCTTACAGCGTATGAAATGGGCTTGTTTTGAAAACAAGTCAACCACTGTCCATATAATGGTGTAACCCTGTACCTCCGGTAAGTCAACTATAAAATCCATTCCAATGTCCTGCCATGGCTGATTTGGATCAGATACTGGTTGTAACAGTCCCACTGGTTTTTTGGGTACTACCTTTGATTGTGCACAGATGTGACAGCCCTTCACATAAGTTTCAATGTCTCTTCTCATTCCAGGCCACCAAAATTGACGTCTGGCTAGGTGTAACGTCTTCAGGAAACCGAAATGGCCGGCTAATTTAGCATCATGACAACGGTGATACACGCGATCTCGTAATCCCTGGGGAATATATAGTCTATTGCCATACCATGCTAAACCATTCCGGTTTGTAAGTAACCCGGGATTATTCAACAACCAAGGATCTTGTAATAAAGCTGTTCTCACCTCATCCTCAAACGATGTCGTTTTCGCGCAGGAATCTACATGCAGATCTCCGACGCTATAAGGGGGCATAATGGCCTGGACCACCTCCTCCCTCGTACTATCATATTGCGGTAGGCGAGAGAGGGCATCCGCTAGGAAATTTCTCCCCCCTGGAATGACTTTAAGTTGGAATCGGAAACGTTGGAAATATTGCACCCAACGCACGTGTTTAGGAGACAACCGCCCAGGCGTTTGTAGAACTGCTAGATTCTGGTGGTCTGTCCACACTTCAAAGAGATGTTGTGCCCACTCCAGTAAATGGCGCCAGGTGGATAAGGCCCATCTAACTTACTGCAAGAACGTCCTGGTAGTGCTTCACAAAAGCCAAGAAACAGGAACGTTGAACAATCAACAAGTTTAATGCACTGTGTTGACATTAAGTTAGCACTGGAAGTAACCTCCTTCCAGTGCCTTAAATACAGCCACCTACCACGCCCAGAGCACACACCCCAATTACCACCCATGACCATACTCCACCCTCGCCTAGCCCAACCCCAGTTGATAACCCACACCCCACCAATAACCTAATTAACAATGCTGCGCTCTCCTGCCCCAGTCCACGCCCCACACATAGAAGTGAAATGAACAAAGCCGGCAACACTCTGCTCTACCGTCCAGTCCTCTGCTCCAACGTCCACTAATGACAGACCCAGCGACACTTGGAAGTCCAATAAACATAAGTACGAAGCAGCCTCCCCTCCGTTCGCCGCGTTTCGTCCGTGCTGTTGTTACTAGCCATCTAAGTATATCAATTACTAGCCATCCTAGCTGGTCACGTGGGCTCATCAGCTGCCGCTCTAGGAATCGTGGTTTCCCATCTCGGTGGTTGCAATAGCAGTGCAAAACACGGAGCTGCCGCTCTAGGAATCCCGGTTGCCCATCTCGGTGGTTGCAATGGCGGCGCAAAACGCGGACCCGCCGGATCAGCTGTTGGGGCCTCTCCAATGTTGCCATTGTGTGAGCCGGTAACGGGGCTACTGGAGGGTGGGTGGTGCGCTGGGTCTGACAGAAAGTTTTACCAATGATGCTTTTTTTGTTTCAGATTCCAGAGTCCAGCTAGACATAACAACACTAAAACGTAGCATGAAAATCAAGGTTATTGAGCCAGAGCTGATAAAGAATTGGCGGGCTGGAGAGCTGGAGAAGAACCCCACACTTCAAGCTAATTGGGGAATGTGATTTATGACTGTTAATTGGAGGAGGGAGGGAATTGTGCTTTGATACTATGTGCCGGGGGGGGGGGGAATTCAGTTTTTGGCTTCGATTATGTAAGTGCCGGTATTATGCTACTCGAATAAAAGATCCTTTAAGGTAAACAATGCCTCAAAGTTCCTTTGAAGAGTTTCATCTGTCGGAACCATGACAGGGGGTGTAAATCGGACGTAAGTTACTTTTTTCAGTGCTGTTGTAACTTTGAACGGTCACTAAGCAAACTGCTGTAAGTCGGGGAATACCTATATACGCAAATAGAAATTCATAAAGTGGAAAGGTGATTGGGGAAAAAGGAAGGGAAGAAAAAAAAGAGCTGGGAATGCTGATGGTGGCCCTTGGGGAGGGGGCTGAGCTGTGCCCTGGGGAGGATCATGGTTTCCTTGCCCCCCCCTTTGGAAGCTACTCTGGCATTCCCTTGTGTCTTCTCTGGTTGCCACACCTGTTGCAAAATGGCCTGTGGGAGAGAACTGGAGAGTCCAATCTCGGCATTCTTCAAATCAGCAGGAAGAGAAGAGCAGTCACAACAGTGGTGACAAGGCCCCAGCAAAGTCAGTGAAAGCATTGCCTGCAGGAGTGCAAGCTGGCCACATGGATTTACAGAAGACAATAACAGAGTTGGAAGAGACCTTGGAGGTCTTCTAGTCCAACCCTCTATAGAAACAGGGGGCGCTATACCATTCCCGACAAATGGTTGTCCAATCTCTTCTTGAAAACCTCCAGTGATGGAGCACCCCCACTAAACTTCTGGAAGCAAGCTATTCCATTGATTAATTTGTTCTGACTGTCAGGAAATTTCTCCTTAGTTCTAGGTTGCTTCTCTGCTTTTTAGTTTCTATCCGTTGCTTCTTGTCCTGCCTTCTGGTGCTTTGGAAAATAGATTTACCCCCTCTTCTTTGTGGCAGCCCCTCAAATAATGGAACACTGTCTCAAGGATGAAACTTTGGCAGCTATGTTCCTCTGCCTTTCAACTTGCCTTTAGAGTAAGAGGGGGGGGGTCTTACTTTCCAGTAGATTAGATGGAAACATGAAATTTGTACAATTCCGCTGAAGACTTTGAGAACCTGAAACCTTTTCAAGGACACAAGAACAGGTGTGGATTTGAAGCAGACAGTTCCCATAACAAACAGAACTTGTTTATATGGACTACGTAAGACATTGGGGGTTTGGCTGGGAAAACTATTGCTTAAGGCTATGAATTGGTGTTAGAACCTCAGAGTTAGTTTTGTTTCAGCAAAATCAATCAACTTAATAAACAATAAGATTTTTGGAAACAGAATGAACTTGGAGTTTTATTTGGATTCTCGAGCTGAATATTGACACACTGCTATCATGTCACCCCTAGTCCTTATTTTCATTAAACTAGACATACCTAATTCCTGCAACTGTTCTTCATATGTTTTAACCTCCAGTCCCCTAATCATCTTTGTTGCTCTTCTCTGCACTCTTTCTAGAATCTCAAAATCTTTTTTGTACCATGGCAACCAAAACTGGATGCAGTATTCCAAGTGTCGTCTTACCAAGGCATTGTAAACCCTTATTAACACTTCACATGATCTTGATTCTATCCCTCTATTAAGGCAGCCTAGAATTGTGTTGGCTTTGTTGGCGGCTGCAGCACACTGCTTGCTCATATTTAAATGATTGTCAACTAGGACAATCCCTCTCACAGTTAGTACTATTGAGCCAAGTACCACTAAATGTTAGCTTTCAAGCGCCACTAAACCATTTGCAGGATTTGGTGGAAAGACTAACACGGCCATCCCCGTGTTAAGCATTTGGGGAGACTCTTCTGGAAGCTTCCCGTCAGTGTGCACCCTTTGATGCAAAGTCAGGTTTGTGCTCTGGGTGAAGCTTTTCCCACACTCGGAGCAGGTGTAGGGCTTCTCCCCAGTGTGGGTTCTCTTATGTCTAATAAGGCTGGACTGAACCCGAAAGCTCTTCCCACAGTCCGTGCAGCCGTACGGCTTCTCCTCCATGTGCATTCGCTGATGCGCATTGAGGCAGCCCCTGTGACTGAAGCTCTTCCCGCACTCGTAGCATTTGTAGGGCCTCTCCCCCGTGTGAACCCTTTGGTGCTGAATGAGACTCGGTTTGTCGGAAAAAGTCTTGTTGCAATCGGCGCACTGATGCGGCTTCTCTCCTTTGTGGATCTTCTGATGCCTCACAAAGTTGGTGCTCTTGTTGAAACTTTTCCCGCACTCCAAGCACTGGTACGGCTTCTCCCCATGTGGATAATTTGATGGCAGGCAAGGTGGGCGCTCTGAACGAAGCTCTTCCCACACTCTAAACATGTATATGGCTTTTCTCCAGTGTGGATGATCTCGTGGGACGTCAGATGGGCGCTGCGACTGAAGGACTTCCCGCATTCCAAGCATTTATACAACTTCTCCACTTTAGGGATTCTTGGCGGTGTCAGCAGGTTGGATGGACCATGAAAGCTTTTGCTGAAATCGGAGGGTTGATGTTGTCCATCAGCATGGACAGCCTGATACGATGGAGGAATTAAAGAAACTAGAAACTTCTCTCGGTTTTCCAGAAATGTATATGAACTCTCTCCTTCAGAAAGCATTTCCCTGTCTCTGGAGTTCTTCCCCAAAATACCTTTCTGGGATTCAATCTCTGCAGATATTTCCCAGTGATCACTGAGACATCCATTTCTTTCCTCTCCTTCCTTTTTTTTTTTTGCTGCAGTGAGATTTGATGGAACTCTCCAATGGAACGAGGAAGGGGTTTATCGATCCATTCTTCTTGTTGGCTTCCTTCTTGGTGTGAGGGTTGAATTCGGTTCCAGACTTTCTCTTCAAAGAGTTCCTGCTCAATTTCTTCAGAGAAATTCCCACATAGTTTCCCCTCTGATTCACTTTTCCATTCAGATCCTGTTGGAATAAAGATTGGGAGATGGTTAGAGCTCACACCAAACTATTTAGAAGTAGACTCTCTGGGAATATTTGGGGTTCCCCATTAAATAACAATAATGAGGAAAAAAAGTTCTGGATAATGGATGTCCATGGAGGTTTTCAGTCATCCAGGTCATGGTTGCCCCAAAGGTGCTTTTTCAAGAGGCAACTGGACTTTGTTGTGAACTATATAAATAACCAAGTCCATAATGCGCTTTAACTCCCCTTTAACATAGGTATAAACAAATTAAAAATAAACATAATAATATAAACAAGTCGATATCCTAATTATTAAACAATACAATATCCAAATTATTAAACTATACTAATACTAAAGATAATAATAAAACTAATAAAAATTCTACTATAATAAACTATTAATAGTAATAATACTCTAAAATTTACTCATAAACTAAAATATGCTATGTTTTTTGCTATTTCAGTTAGTTAGTAGTGGAAATATAAATTTCCAAGCCGGGAGTATTCTGAACCATATAGCTCTATGTAACCTCGTATAGCTCTATGTAACCCTGACTAGAGAGCATGTATCAGTATGTCAGTGGAAGGAGTTTCTAAAGGGCATTGGGAGACTTCCTGGACACAAGCCAGATTGGAATGTCTTTGTCTGAAAGAAGCATGGGCTATCAGATGTCACCCAATGAGCCTGCGCCGTTATAAAGATGGTATGGAAGAGAGCATCATCCTTTTACCTGTAGGAATGGACAAAAGATGTAATTTCCAGAAGTAACAACACAGCATGAATGCAAGTAATCTTTGTAATCTTTCTGATCAAAATATATTTCTTTTTGTTATGAAACCATTTCTACTGAGTTATCTATCTGACTTGATTTAAAGAAGGCGTTTTTAACTCACAGTCTGAATAGAGTATGTAGTGGGAGGGGGGTGAGCTGAAGCTGCAGCAGCACCAGAGAGGCCCGGGGGAGAATCAGCTGGAGCTGCAGTGTTGCTGGGGCTCTGCTGAAGCCCTGGGATCGGCCCGTGTGGCTCCAGCTGATTGGGGCTTCCAACAGCCTCGGGGTGGCTGGCAGCTGCACGCAGTCTTCAGGGGAAGAGTCAGCTGGAGCTGTGAGGCTGCCGTGGCTTGGCAGGGACCCCAGAATCAGCACATGCAGCTCCAGTCAATGAGTGCTGTGTGAAAAAGCCAGCCAGGCAGTGAGTGAACGCATGGGGGAGAGGAGAATATAAAAAGGAGGGGTTTGGGTAGAAAGGAGGAGTGAGAGAGCAGAGAAGGCAATAGGGAGGAGAGATGTCGGTGGGACAAGCCTGAAGGAGAGAAGGGGATGGCATAAGTGAGGCTTCTGTGGAGGAAGCCTGAGGGAGAGAAGGAGTCAGCAACTGGCCCTTTGAGGGCAACCATAATGCTGATGAGGCCCTCAATGAAATTGAGTTTGACACCCTTGCTCTACATGAAACCTTTGGGAGTGGCCCTTTCCCCCCACCATGGGGCAAAGTCTCCTCCTCCTGGTGCCATCCTGTTGTCCCTCTTAAAAACAACTTTAGGGAATTCCAGGAGAGAAAGGCTGCTTGGCTTAAAGGAAACTCTTCTGCAAAGTCAAGTGCAGGTAGTCCTCAAGCTACAACAGTTCATTCAGTGACTGTTTGAAGTTATAACGTCATCCCCGCAGTCATGTGATCAAAATTTGGATGCTGCTGATGATAATGATAATGTTGGAAGGGACCTTGGAGGTCTTCTAGTCCAACTCTCTGCTCAGGCAGCAAACCTATATATGGGGTCCCCAACCCCCGGTCTGTGGACCGGTACCAGGCTGCAGCATGCCAGCAACTGGGCCACACAAACAAGCAACGGCCCATCCATGGGATGCAGGCAGCACACAAAACCACACACCCTCCAGTCCATGGAAAAACCTCTCTCCATGGAACCAGTCCCTGGTGCCCAAAAGATTGGGGACCTTTGCCTTATACCATTTCAGATAAATGGCTGTCCAGTCTCTTCTTAAAAACTT